TCTAATTGTTTCACAGGATGCGACAATGCGGTTTCTTAATTCGTCTATGGTTTGCACTGGAGTCGTATAAACCAAATGTTTGAGATGACCCCAAAGGAAAAAATTCAACAAATTTAAGTCGGGAGGCCTCTGGGGCCAGGGTTGAGTGCCTCTCGACCTATCCAGCGATTTGGGTAGATATTGTTCAAATATTCACGTGCAGCTAAACTGAAATGGAGTGGAGCACCATCGTGCATAAAATACATTTGCAACCTTAATGGCAATGGGATTTCTTCCAAAAGTACGGGCAATTCATCCTCAAGAAAACGGCGATAAACATCTCCAGTAAGCCTCGGTGGTAAAAAAAATGGGGGTATTAAGTGGTCTCCCACAATTCCGACCCATACATTAAGTGAAAACTGGTGTTGATGACGGCCTTCTAATATTGCATTTGGATTCTCGTCCGCCCATACAATTGTCGTATCTATCGACATAAATCTAATCTTAACGGAAAATCAGTCGGTAAAAGTGCCTGAACCCGTTGGATGTGATAAGGGTATAGATTATTTTTTTTAAATCCTGAAAATTGTAGAACGACTTGCATTTAAGTTTCTAGCAATCTGTCTGGTACTTGTTGGAGTGTCCTCAATTTCATGAAGTGCATCTTCCTCCAATTGTAGGGTTATTGCTGTGCGGGTCGTCCGTTTCCTGCGGTAAGTTTTCGAAAACTTCCAGTTTCACTGAGACTGATGAAGACGGGTGAAGATAGTATGATGAGGAATTATACGATTAGGGTATTTCTGCTCATAGAGGCGCCTGGCGGCTAATGCATTACTGTTGGCAAGGCCATAAAGAAAATGCATATCGCAGATTTCACTATTTGTGTAATTCATTTTGGCAAGCAGGAATTGGCAACTGTACTGTTCAAGTACTTACTTATTAAAATCACACACTTAAGCTATTAATTTCTTTGCTCGAAAACGAAGCAAGATATTAAAAAAAGTAAAGAGACAAAAAAGTTGTATTTTTTAGCGCTTAATTAGAAAAACATATGACACCTAAGAAAAAGCAGTGACGTCTCATGTTTACTTATTAATATCACAGGAGTGAGTGCCCGGACGCCGCTGGAATAGATAAAATAAATCAAATTGGTTAGAAGACGTCTACCGTTTTTATAAACAAACATAACAAATTTCAAAAAAAATCGGAATTAGGGTTCTCCAGATATTAGTAAAAACCTTGTATTTTCTCTAAATTTCAACACCCTGTATCTCCAAAACGAAGCATTTTCGGACATAGGTTTATAGGAACTTTCTTTCTTATTTTTGGTCAAGGAAACTTCCCCTGAATTTTTTCGCAATATTAATGGGACATCCTGTATATTAATTCAGCCAATTCAGTGAATTTTTACCTTTAACTAACTGAATCATTAGCCCACGTTTCACCAATCCACGTCAGTCATCATCAGAGGTGTTCAAATAAATATGGTATGTTTTTAAACCTGAAATCCAGTGACTTTAAACACTTAAATTAGTTCATTATAACTTATTATTATGGTTATTATGACAAAAATTTAGAAAACACCCTGTAGAAGCTTCAAGAGAGCGTCTGTCGCATATTTTGCGAGAAAATTTTAACAGGTTAGCGTAGGAGCTTCCCAGGTATCGGCGATAACAAATCGCATTACTCTATAAACAAACAATTGACACACGCAAACAACCGTTAGTCACCTGTCCGTATATATTGTGACTAGATTTTCGTAAGTGTACCACCAAGCGCGTAAAACTGGGTCAGTTTTTGTTTCGATATCGTCTCCTTTTTCGCTGATTCGACGCACTGCGGCTTACGCAACTGTTTGTAAATATCAGTTAATTGTTGATCTTCAATTGTTATTCTCGGTGCGACCCGCCGAAAAAATCGAGACGCCCGCAAACAGATTAGGGCTGATCCCATTTTTGGGCCGATTATCAATAATTAATAACGCCATTTTAAGTCCGGCAGGATATGCGTTTGTTTTTTCTTAAGGAGATGAATCAGGCCTGCTTGATTTATATGCGGAAAATATTCCGGAAATGAGGGCGAGAATTTTATTACCGTCGTACGCTCGTATCCAATTTTTAATGTCATTTGAAGGTCACAGATGAACAGAAAATTCCAAAAGGCCACAGAAAAAGTTCTAACAAACATCTAAAATACAATTAATAAAAAACAGCAAGTCGACATGAAAACGACGACGTTTTTTGTGGTAGCCTGTACATAGAACAGAGGATCTACAACATTTCTGGTGACAAAAATGGGTTTCAAAGGCTAACGCAATGCGTGTTTACCACAAATGTAATCTGAATTTACTTATTAAACAATTTGAATATTAATAGATATTGATGAAACGTCCTGTCCAAAACCTTATGCAGATTTCTACCTCATAAGGATGTGGTTTATTTCTTAAGGAATAGAAAACAGAATTATTATACATATACAGGGTGGGCCATTAGTGTGAGAAAGTACACTAACTCCCTTGTTACTTATAATACTGAAAAAATGTTTATATAAAAGTTGTACAGAATCAAGAAACCTAAACTACAAAATTAATTTCAAACATACAGGGCGATGAGTAAAAACGGGACACGCCAAACATTACATTTTTTAAATGGAACACCCTGTATATTTTTAAACAGTTGGATTTCTAAGAAAATTCTATATATGGCAATATAAACAGTTTATCATTTTAGTGCGGGGTTGCCAAGTTATGTAGAAAATTCTTAGAATTTTGGAAAAAACATGACCTCGAAGAAGTTGTATTAACTTTCAACTACTAACACTTGGAGCAAAAATATTTGACAGAGTTATAGACAAATGTTATACAAAGACTCCTATATTAGCTAATATCGATATTTTATACAGGGCATTTTTTTATAAGACGATAATTTTTAGAAATTTTAAACTTGATTTTCTAAAATTTTTCAAATGGAACACCCTATATTTTATTGTTTTATTTTATTCGCATATCACTCCGCTTCAACTTTTATTAAGCAAGTTCTATACCTAAAATTGTTAGTTTTTAAGATATGGTAACATTTCTGAAAATACTATTATAAATATTTTTATTATTTTCGGTCGCACGAGATGGCTTTGAAAAAAACTGTCGCATTGTGTCAACTTGTCAGTTCATAATTTACAATTCCATTTTGCGTTAATTTTATTAGTTTATTAGTATCTATTAGTTATTTATTAGTTGGTATTCATAAAATAATTTTATATTACAATGAATTTTTCTAAAGAAGAAATGGTGGATATGATTTATGTATTGGGAGCTGCTGATAGAAATTGTTTACTCGCAAAAAGAATTTATAATCAGAGATATCCAAATAGAAGACAACCACGTGCAAATACCTTTGAAAAATTAATGGTACGTTTTAATACTACTGGCAATGTTTCTTATGAAAAACATGATAGAAAAAATACTATTGTGGATGATGAGAATGAACTAAATGTTCTGTTAAGTGCTACTGAAGATCCGCATATAGGCACTACAGCAATTTCAAGGCAAACAGATATAAGCAGGAAAGTAGGACATCGGTAAGGCGGATTTTAAAGAAGCACAGGATGCATCCATATCATATCCAGTTTTACCAAAAATTGAATAACCACGACTATGAAAGTCGCTTGGAATTTTGTAATTGGGCCCAGAGAAAAATGAATGAAGATAGGCTTTTTTGTGTGTGCTTTTTCTGATGAGGCAACGTTTCACAAAAATGGAAGCGTGAACAGACACAATTTTCATTATAATGCTTCTGAATTCGTTGCTTGTAAGGACACACCGAATCGACGAGTTTTTCAAAATATCAACATTGATATTCTGAATAATGTTAACATCCACATTTGAACGACGTGTAGAGCTATGTCTAAACCAAGACGGCCGTCATTTTGAACATTGTTGTAAAATTAAATATTTGATTTATTTTCGTATCTATTTTGTTATTTTATTTCCATTTAATAAATAAACTATGTTGTTATGTTCTATTAAGATTTTTTAATACACAAATATGTAGTATAATTAAATTATTTTATAGTATAGACAAGTTGACACAATGTGACAGTTTTTTCCAAAGCCATCTCGTGCGACCGAAAATAATAAAAATTAAGTATTTTCAGAAATGTTGCCATATCTTAAAAACTAACAATTTTAGGTATAGAACATGCTTAATAAAAGTTGAAGTGGAGTGATATGCGAATAAAATAAAACAATAAAATATAGGGTGTTCCATTTGAAAAATTTTAGAAAATCAAGTTTGAACTTTCTAAAAATTATCGTCTTATAAAAAAATGCCCTGTATAAAATATCGATATTAGCTAATATAGGAGCCTTTGTATAACATTTGCCTATAACTCTGTCAAATATTTTTGCTCCAAGTGTTAGTAGTTGAAAGTTAATACAACTTCTTCGAGGTCATGTTTTTTCCAAAATTCTAAGAATTTTCTACATAACTTGGCAACCCCGCACTAAAATGATAAACTGTTTATATTGCCATATATAGAATTTTCTCAGAAATCCATCTGTTTAAAAATATACGGGGTGTTCCATTTAAAAAATGTAATGTTTGGCGTGTCCCGTTTTTACTCATCGCCCTGTATGTTTGAAATTAATTTTATAGTTCAGGTTTCTTGATTTTGTACAACTTTTATATAAACTTTTTTTCTGTATTATAAGTAACAAGGGAGTTAGTGTACTTTCTCACACTAATGGCCCACCCTGTATATGATAAAGGTGACGTCATTCACAAATTTCAGTCATCAAAACTAATTTCCGTCTACTCAAAATCACTTTCCATTGTCAAATGAACAGGGCGTCCCAATAGTCCGTGTACCACAGTTTCCTAAGATCAAAATAAACAGTTTTAACTAAACTTACCTCTTTCTTAAGTTACTTCGTTTAACAGTACAATGCTTTTCAAGTTGTTTGAAAAAAACTTTTTTTTTATATTTCCATTTTTTAATCGTTTATAGTATCTATTTTGTTCCAGAACTATACACATTTACGCGATGGAAGAGTCAAACATACAAAAATTCTACAAGTCGTGCAACGTCTTCATCACGGGCGGCACTGGATTTATGGGCAAGCTGCTCATTGAAAAACTGTTACGTTCCACAGAGGTCTCCAGCATATACCTCTTGATCAGGGAAAAGAAAGGCAAAAACGCCCATTCGAGAATAGACGAGCTGTTTGACGATGTGGTAAGCATTTTGAATTTAAATTTCCCTCCACGTACTAAGTACCCAATGGAAAAGGTTCATTCATGTACCTACGTGTCCTAAAATCAATCAAAATTAATGTTTTTTTATTGGTACCTTCTGACGCAAACACCAAAAACGCGCAAGTCAAGTCTCATTATGATCTTATAACAATTACCTTCAGCATTGCATTGCAGATCTTCGACAGACTGAAAAGGGAATGCCCGAAATACAAGAACAGAATAGAAGCCATCTCGGGAGATTGTTCTGTTTCCGGCTTAGGTTTAAACATCACAGACAGGCAAAAGCTAATGTCCGACATACACGTCGTGTTTCACGTGGCTGCAACCGTTAAATTCGACGAAAACCTAAAATTAGCATACTCAATCAACGTGAAAGGAACCAAAGACGTCCTGGATTTGACTAGACAAATGAAAAGTTTGAAGGTAATATAACTTTTTATAATAAGAATGTACCTTTGGAGGCAATATTTGTGTCTGTCTTTTCAGTCAGTAATACACGTGTCAACCGCCTTTTCCAATTGTCATTTGCCAGAAATAGAAGAGAAATTCTATGACTGTCCGTATGCCTACGAAGATATCGGTCAAGTTTTAGAAAAACTGAACAAGAATGATATAGAACAATTGACACCGAGGTAATGTCCTTAATTTTTAATCAGAAAACTAAAAAAGTTTTAAGAATTGTTTTATTTTTCTTTAAAATGTCACCTATACTCGAACTGTAAATGGGATTTACGTTTCAGGATTATTGGACCGTGGCCAAACACATACACGTTCACGAAAGCCTTGGCAGAGTCAATGATCAAAGAAACAGGATCTGGATTACCTATAGGCATCTTTAGACCAGCCATAGGTAAATAAAATTCATTTATCTGCTCCCACTATAGTAAATAGACCATTAATACATTGTTTTTAAGAAGGTAAGTGGATTTTACCGTAGAAGTGGAAGTTGCTATGGACGACGGGAGGTAACTGAGGTAACTTACCTCCCTAGGAAAAAAGCGATTTCGAGTTATAAATGCATATTTTATGAACAAATAGATACAAATATTAATAAAAATAGTAATTGTACAGTTATTATATTTAGTAACATTTATAATCAGGATAACTACTATTCCACTCGCGTTTACTAATTATCACATTTTTTTCAAAATGATTTGACCGCACCATTTCAGTCAATACTATCTAACTGATCCATTAAAACAGCATGATGCGACGTACTACTAAAACCTGGAGTTGAAGTGTCATTGTAAAGAATTCTGTTGGCTATTTCATTTTTGTTACTTAAACTGTCAGCAACATAACTTTCTGCAATTGTGGCTGATTTCCACCCACCATGTCTCTTGATTGCTATTATATCAACTCATGTGTTAGCCAGTAACGTTGCCAATGTTCTTCGGAATGAATGGCCTGTATATGTTTCAGGATGTTCTAGTTTCAAAAACTGCGCGATCTTATTAGGAAAGGGTATTCTTGCTTACTGGTTGGTTGTAACATCTACCTGCTTGATAGCGCATAAAATAGCGTGAAATTTCAGTTTTAATTTCCAATATAATCTTGATATATTTCTTGAGAATTTCTAGGTGAGAAACAGAACCCAGACGAGAAGTAATTGTAAACATACGTGACATACCATTTTTAGAATCTGGAATTGTAACTACAATGTCACCGAAATTTTTGAAATTGACGTTGTCCAAAGTAAGTTTGCAAAACTCAGAACGGCATGCTCCTGCAATGCCTAAGACCGTCACTACCTTCATTAGAAAATGTGTTATTGAGTGCCTGAACGAGAAAATCGTTAACTTGTTCTCTTGTAAAAACATTTAACTTTTTAGGTGTATAGACGTCATTCTTATGTTTCAAAAATGCTCTCAGCTTTGGGTATTTTGATATATCCCCGTTCTCATCTATCAAAATAGTTTACTTAAATCATTGAGTATTCACTCCATAAACTCGCCGGTGATTAAAGTTCTTGACTTATCCATGAAATATGCTGGCAGTGACATTTCAGAAACACCAGTATTTTTGTTCTGGCACCATTTTTTAAAATTTCTATGCTTGTCCGTAGCACACTTTCGACTTCTCGGGTAATAAATATTCGCAGACACTTTCTATTTGAAAATCACTCATTTAGAAATAATAATTCAAAACCAGTAAAATTGCAACTTTTATGTAGCTTTGTTTATAGACATCTTATAGCTGTTTTACATTGACAATTTATTGATCAATTAATTCATGAAGTCGCTTCATCAAGAAATTGGACAAGAGTAATGCACCAAATCTGCTGTCAAATAACTTCATGAATTTATTCAACATGTTCCTGACGAATTAGAGCATGTTCTAATTTTCATCAATTTCTTCGTGAAGTTCGGAAGTACCAACCCAACAGATTTCCATCCTCAGATCAGTAATGAGGTTACATTATTGGAATATGTAAATAATTGTGTGGCGTCGTACTAGTTTTGCATTGTTTTTACTGATTTGTTACTTACAAACACTAATATTTATATAATATGTGTCAAAACGGTACCGGTGTTGTATCACTACAATTATGAGTGAAAAGGTAACATTTTTGAAATTTATTTGCTTCTTTGATTCGTTGGTAGAACTGATTCATACGTTAAAAAACTTGACAGTCTGTAGCAGTGTAAAACCACACTGTTTACCAATAAATTCGTGAATTAATTCATGAAGAACTTCGACAACTTCGTCAATTTATTCATCAATAAATTGTCAATGTAAAACAGCTATTAGAAACGGTAAAATCCAAACAACCAAGGCGACGTTGCAAGATTTCGAATAATGTCAAAATGAATCGATTAAGAAATGTCAAAAAATAAAACCTAATCTTTATTTCATGAACCATAAAGAACTGTGGTAGCAGATAAAATTACACAAAACGCAGCAATTAAGTATAATTTACCAGTCTCGGACTCTATTGCCAGCCCTCGCTCCGCTCGGGCGCAAAATATGGTGTAAATAGCTATTTATACTTCAGGTTCAAAATAACACAGGCCGCCAAAATTTGCCTGATAAGTACTCCAACCCAGAAACCAGAATGTACTATTGGTGCGCTGAAATCGAATCCAAGGGTCAAATTTTTCAATTGGCTCTGGTTTTTGAGATAACCTACCCTAAAAGTGTCAAATCGCGATTTTTTGACATTTTGAGGTTATGTTACATGAATAGGTATTTTTCTTGGTAAAACCATTAATGGGGTCTTAAAGTACTATACCTACTCTTTAAAATGCACTTAGATATATCCCGATATTGTTTTTTTACTTATTTCCTGATTTTTTAATATACTGACAAGACAGCACCAGAAACCTAAATTCATCGGCACCCGAAAGTAGTGATCTCACATATTCTCAAATACTTTATCACGTCAAATTTTGCAATAAATTTAAATAAAAATGTCTAAAAATAATTCAATATATAGTCGATATTTTACACATTATATCAATCTGGAAATACATACACGCAAAAGAAGCTTCCGAACTCATAAACCCTAAGACCAAACACCCTAAGCCCATAAACCCATGAGGTTTGTGGTGCTGCATTAATATATTCAAAAATCGAGAAATAAGTCAATAAATTTTAAAGAGTAACTAAAGTACTTTAAGACCCCACTAATGGTTTTAGCAAAAAAAATACCTTTGTATGTAACATAACCTCAAATATGTCAAAAAATCGCGATTTTGACACTTCGGGGTTAGGATATCTCGAAAACCACAGCCAACTGAGAAATTTGGACCTCGAATTCGAATTCAGCTGACCAAAATCCTTTGGGAAAGTATATTCGTGTTGTTGGGTTAAAATCTTCAGCCTGTGCAATAGACAATCTATTATTGGGAGTACATAAAATTTATCACAGCCAGGCAACGTTCCCGTCTATGGTGGAAGACGCTTTGGCGAAGAGAACTTCATCCAGGCCCAATACTAATTTTCCTGTATTTTCCAGTAATATCCACATACAAAGAACCCGTAGAAGGATGGATAGACAACCTTTACGGTCCAACAGGAGTCTGCGCAGGAACTATTACAGGAGTCTTAAGAGTGATAAAGGCCAACGTCGACAGTATAGCAGATATAGTACCAGCCGACACGTGTGTAGCTGGCCTTATAGCTTCAGCGTACGACGTCTCGGAGAAGGAATGTGAAAGGTAACATTTTAACTAGCAATTTTAACACTTTTTATCCATTTTCTCGTTACAGGACAGTCGACAACATCCCTATATACAATTATGTTTCGTCTTCTGAAAATCCCATAACGTGGGATGAATTTGTACACTTGAACTTAATCCACGGATCGAAATATCCTGTGATAAATTCAATATGGGCGTTATCGCTAACAGTCACGTCTAATATAATAGTGTATAACATTCTAAGGTTTTTACTTCACACGTTACCAGCACTATTGTTTGACACTGGTGCTGTCCTTTCAGGCAACAAACCTAGGTGAGTGAGATGGTATAATTAATAGAACGCAATCAACTTTCTGACCTGGTATGCAGACCGCCATGCGAGAAACATGTATGACAGCCTTTATACAGGCCAAGGAGTCTAATGTTACATTTTAAAAAATCATAATAATGTGTTGTTTCAGAATCCTTCAACTGTACAAAAAAATCCATAAGTTCACCGAAATCCTTGTCTACTTCTGCTTCAGAAGTTGGAAGTTCTCGAACAAGAACACGGTGAATATGTGGTCAAAAATGAACAGAGCGGACAGAGAGTTGTTCCCTTTTAGTATGACGACGGTTCACTGGCTCCTTTATTTCAGGAGATACATAAAGGGAATGAGGCTATATCTGTTGAAAGATCCGGATTCCACGTTGGACGTTGCCAAAAAAAGAGACAAAAGGTAAAAGTACACCCTTAGTAATATGTATTTTTTTGGTGTAAGTAAATTATATTAGGTGCGTTTCAAAGTAAACAGGACTTTTCAAAAATAGGTATTTCTAGTAAAGCCATCTATTGGCAATGCATCTGAAAGGTAGATTCTTCACTGATGTACTGTCAAAATTTCATGACATTTGGAATATGGCTGAAGACAGACACGGATTCAGATTCGGGAAACGAATTTTTACAGCGGACCAGTTCATTATTGAAAATTTTTAATATTATTTTGCTTCTTTAAGTCTTCACAAGTTAAATTTAGTACATATATATATATAAAATAAAACAAAGTAAATTTTTAAAGGTTATTACTTTTTAACNTAATAAATGTGTTATGAAAGAATGAAATCATCATAGAGATAAATGTGATTTAAGCTAAGGTAGATATTATTGTCACGCGTTATCCTGAAACATACTGTAGTCAAGTCACAGAACATGACCTGACAACAATATGTGTCTGTATGAAAAAATAAAATAAAATGAAATGACATAATATGAAATGAAATGAAATAAAATAAAACAAAGTAAATTTTTAAAGGTTATTACTTTTTCACATCACATCACATCATTTCACAACAAAATTTAAGATTTTACAAAAATTACATATTCAAATTGAGATTTATTTATACCCTAAGGATTTATAGGTACATATTGTGGAAACGGAAATATTTTGAATTTACGAGGGTCAAACGATTCTATTACTCTTCAGGATCGAAAAAACGTAGATCCCGCAAATACGCCTTTTACAGATTGAAATTTATACTGAGATTTACTTATGTTCTAAGGAATCATGCATATCGTGGAAACGGAAAAATTCAGAGGCTACGAGGGTCAAACGATTTTTTTTCTCTTCAGGGTTGAAATAGCCGTGGATCTCGCAAATATCACTGCTACAGATTGAAATTTATACTGCGATTTACTTATGTCCTAAGGAATCGTACATATCGTAGAAACGGAAAAATTCAGAGGCTACGAGGGTCAAACGATTTTTTTTACTTACTTTACTTACTACTTTTATTTTCAATAATGAACCTGGTCCGCTGTAAAAATTCGTTTCCCGAATCTGAATCCGTGTCTGTCTTCAGCTACATATACACTTCTGCAAAAAATTAAGGGAGCAAAAAAATTTTTTGAATTATTAGTGATTTTTCAGAATGCTGTATCTCAGTTAAAAATGATCGTATCAAGGTTTTAAAAAAAGCATTTTAAAGTGCCGAATGTATAGTTTCCAGATTTCTTAGCTCAAAATTTTAGGAGCGATAGTCATCGCGAAATTCTAAGGAATAAGACTAAAAAAAATTTTTTTTTCAATTTTTTGCTTTTTTTTCTCGGTCCACGGGCTTGGAAAAATTTTTTACACAAAAATCATGATATGGACTTGATAGCCTGTTAGTAGGTTATTATAGCCGGTGCTGAGACTCCCCCCTCCACTTTCGACCTTGGGATGACCTTGGGATGACCTTGGATGACGTCATCCGTGACCTGAATGACATTGATAGNTCAGGGTTGAAATAGCCGTGGATCTCGCAAATATCACTGCTACAGATTGAAATTTATACTGCGATTTACTTATGTCCTAAGGAATCGTACATATCGTAGAAACGGAAAAATTCAGAGGCTACGAGGGTCAAACGATTTTTTTTACTTACTTTACTTACTACTTTTATTTTCAATAATGAACCTGGTCCGCTGTAAAAATTCGTTTCCCGAATCTGAATCCGTGTCTGTCTTCAGCTACATATACACTTCTGCAAAAAATTAAGGGAGCAAAAAAATTTTTTGAATTATTAGTGATTTTTCAGAATGCTGTATCTCAGTTAAAAATGATCGTATCAAGGTTTTAAAAAAAGCATTTTAAAGTGCCGAATGTATAGTTTCCAGATTTCTTAGCTCAAAATTTTAGGAGCGATAGTCATCGCGAAATTCTAAGGAATAAGACTAAAAAAAATTTTTTTTTCAATTTTTTGCTTTTTTTTCTCGGTCCACGGGCTTGGAAAAATTTTTTACACAAAAATCATGATATGGACTTGATAGCCTGTTAGTAGGTTATTATAGCCGGTGCTGAGACTCCCCCCTCCACTTTCGACCTTGGGATGACCTTG